TGCCACCCTTGGGAACAAAAGGGCACAATTTTAAAATGTTTTGAAAAAGAAGCAAATGTGAGTTGAGAATAAATCTTTTCACTAAACCAGTAGTTAGGATGTAGAATGCACTGCCTGGAAATGTGGTGGACTCAGATTTAAATGAGGTATTCAATAGAATTTTGGATGATTATTTGAATAGAAACAACATGCAAGGGAAAAGATAAGATACTAGCCCTGTCAAAATGCTCATATTAAAAACACAATATAAGCGTTTCCCAAATTCCCACAATATTTACTCTCTATCTAGCTCTATCCGTCTGAGAAAGATATTCCTCACAACAATTCACATGTTTGAGCTGGACCAATGGATTCTCCTTCCTCTCTGATGTAGGGCTGGCTCTCTACACAAAGGTGGGTCTCACAGGTCAGAGTGGATCTTTGTCCTGGGTGTTCTTGGGTTGCTATGTGGTCTTCTGCCACGAGTTTTGCTGTAAGTCTTCACTGTGAGTCTTTGATGAGTCTTCACTGATGAGATGGCACCCAAGTTTTGTGTTCTTATCCCCCTTTGACCCTGACCTTCCAGAATGCTTTATGGCCCTTAGCCATTTGGTTCATGAGCTGGGGTCAAAGCATCCAATGGGGTTGCACCAACACCCTTCACTGTTGCCATGGGGGTAAGGTGTAAAATGCATGTCCTCAGGCACTGACTAAACATCAAGGTTCTAGAAAGTCCGATCGATATTTCTCCAGTACACAACGCTTAGGCCGGATGTAACTGGTTACCCCTAAGCCTTTGTGACCCCTTTGACCTTGGTTTCCACAGTAGCCAACAGTTGCTGGCTGCTGTTTAATTTAGTTTGGCCAATTTTCTGTCAGGCCCAATTTTTCTGGTTGTCGGCCAATTTAGAATGCTCAGTTTTGGGCCCACAATCACTTGACCACAAATACTACTTGGTCATCAAACAGTATACGCAACAAACAGAGCTAAGTGATCCCACAACCAACAGATCCAATCTAAGCTCTGCAGTTCTGCTACATCCAGTTGTGAATGATGGTGGATAATTAAACAATTTATTGGAGGAAAAGGTCCACAATATCCCCATCCTCAATGTTGGAAAAGCTAACACATCAGTGCAAAAGATAAGGCTGAGGCATGTACAATTATCTTCAGCCAGAAGTGATGAGTGGATGATCCATCTTGGCCTCCTCCAGTGCTTCCCAGCATCACAGATACCAGTTTTCAGACAATTTGATTCACTCCATGTGAACCAAGTAACAGTTGGAGACACTGGATACTGCAAAAGCTGCCGGCCCTGACAATATTCTGGAAATAGAACTGGAGAACTGTGCTCCAGAACTTGCCACTCCCCTCGACAAGCTGTTCCAGTACAGTTACAACACTGGCATCTACCCAGCAATGTGGAAAATTGCACAGGTATGTTCTTTACACAAAAAGCAGGACAAATCCAACCTGACCAATTGTTACCCCATCAGTCTTCTCTCAATCATCAGTAAAGTTATGGAAGGTGTCATCAACAGTGCTATCAAGCAGCACCTGCTCAGCACCTGCTAAGCAAAGGGGAGGCAATGGCCTAGTGGTATTATAGCTGGACTATTAATCCACAGACCCAGATAACATCCTGGGGACCCAGGTTCGAATACTGCCACAGCAGATGGTAGAATTTGAATTCAATAAAAAATATCTGGAATTAAGAATCTAATGATGATCATGAATCCAATGTCAATTGTTGGAAAAACCATCTGGTTCACTAATGTCCTTTAGGGAAGGAAACTGCCATCCTTATCTGGTCTGGCCTACATGTCACTCCAGACCTGCTGCAATATGGTTGACTCTGAACTGCCCTCTGGGAAATTAGAGATGGGCAATAAATGCTGCCTAGCCAGCGACGCCCTCGTCCCGTGAATGAATAAAGGAACTTGCTCAGCAACACCCAGTTTGGGTTCCGCCAGGGCCATTCAGCTCCTGACCTCATTACAGCTTTGGTTCAAACATGGACAAAAGAGCTGAATTCCAGAAGTGAGGTGAGAATGACAGCCCTGGACATCAAGGCTACGTCTGACAGAGTGTGGCATCAAGGAACCCTGTGCAAAAATGGAGTCAATTGTTATCAGGAGGCAAACTCTCTGGTGGTTAGAGTCATACCTGACACATAGGAAGATGGTTGTTGGAGGTCAGTCATCTCAGCTCCAGAACAATATTACAGGAGTTCTTCAGGGTAGTGTCCTAGGCCCAACCATCTTCAGCTGCTTCATCAATGACCTTCCCTCCATCATAAAGTCAGAAGTAGGATGTTCACCGATGATTGCACAATGTTCAGCACCATTCGCGACTCCTCAGATACTGAAGCAGTTCATGTCCAAATTCAGCAATGCCTGGACAATATCCAGGCTTGGGCTGATAATTGGTGAGTAACATTTGCACCACACAAATGCCAAGCAATGACTATCTCCAACAACAAGATTTCTAAATATTGTCCCTTGGCATTCAATGGTGTTACCATCACCTCCACTATCAACATCCTCGGGGTTACCATTGATCAGAAACTCAACTGGACTTGCCACATAAACATGGTGCCTGCAAGACAGGCCAGAGGCTAGGAATACTGTGGTGAATAATCATCTCCTGACTCCCCAAAGCCTGTCCACGATCAACAAAACACAAGTCAGAGTGTAATGGAATATTCAGAGATAGTAAGAACTGCTGATGCTGGAGTCGGAGATAACACAGTGTGGAGCTGGAGGAACACAGCAGGCCAGGCAGCATCAGAGGAGCAGGAAAGTTAACGTCAACTTTCCTGCTCCTCTGATGCTGTCTTATTCCCTCGGGTTAGGGTAGTTCAAGACTGGGGGGGCGCAGTTTGAAGGTGAGAGAGGAAAGATTTAAAAAGGTAACTTTTGTCCACACAGAAGGGTGGTGTGTGTATGGAACGAGCTGCCAGAGGTGTGGGGTAATTTACAACATTTATAAGACACATGGACAGGTACATGAATAGGGAAGGTTTATGGGCCAAACAAGGGCAAGTGGGACTAGCTTAGCTCGAGAAACCTGGTCGGCATGGACCAAAGGGTTTGTTTCCGTGCTCTATGAACTGATGAGAGTTTTAAATCATCTCACTCAACTTCTGTGTGAGAGAGGAGGAGGTGAGATTTTTGGACAGGGCAAACTTCTGGACTTTATTAACCTTTCTTCCTGAGCCACAGGAAAAGGGAAACAGAAATTGCTGGGAAAATTCAGCAGGGTCCAGCAGAACTCTGCTCTGAAGAAGGGTCACTGGGCCCGAAACGATGAACCTCGTTTCTCTCCAGAGACGCTGCTGGGTTTTTCTGGCAATTACACATTTCGTTTCTGATTTCCAACGTCCGCTGTTCTTTCGGGATTTTTTTTCTCGCCCGGGGCGGAGGGTTTTGTTTCTCTGTTGTGTTTGAAAGCACCAGAGCAAGGGAGCTGGGAAGTCTTGCGAAGACAAAGTCTTTGAAAACTGGAAGATTCTGAACTGACTACAATCAAGTTTCAATCAAGTGTTTCTGAAACAGAATGCAAGTAACAACTTAGTAATTCAAGCGCGCAGTGGGAAATTGAAGTTTAGAGGGCAGATCTATTTAAACCTTTACATTTTAATTTAAAACAACAGCCGATGGGAACAGCCTGGGTGGTTTTAATTTGTATCAACAAGAACAGGGAAAGATTGTTGGGAAGAAATTAATTGACAATTAATGGAACAGCTAAACTGTCAGTGGCTCAGTGGCTAGCACTGCTGTCTCATGGCACCTGGACCCCAGGTTCGATTCCACCCTCCGGTTACTGTCTGTGTGGGTGTGTGCCCATTCTCCTCGTGTCTGTGTACCCATTCTCCTCATGTCTGTGTGGGTTTCTGTCAGGTGCTCTGGTTTCCTCTCTCAGTCAAAGATATGCAGGTTAGGGTGGATTTGCTGTGCTAAATTGTCCCGTAGTGCCCAGGGATGTGCACGTTAGGGTGGGATTGGCCGAGCTAAATTGTCCCGTAGTGCCCAGGGATGTGCGGGTTAGGGTGGGATTGGCCGTGCTAAATTGTCCCGTAGTGCCCAGGGATGTGCGGGTTAGGGTGGATTGGCCGTGCTAAATTGTCCCGTCGTGCCCAGGGATGTGCGGGTTAGGGTGTAGAGGTGACGTCCTAGTGGTACTATCACATGACTGTTAACGCAGACAGCCAGGTAATGTTCTGGGGACCCGGGTTTGAATCCCACTACAGTAGATGGTGGAATCTGGAATTAAGAGTCTAACAATGACCATGAATCCATTGTCGATTGTTGGAAAAACCCATCTGGTTCACTAATATCCTTTAGGGAAGGAAACTGCCAACCGTATCTGGTCTGGCCTACATGTGACTCCAGACCCACACAGCGACGTGGTTGACTCTCAACTGCCCTCTGGGCAATTAGAGATGGGCAATAAATTACTGGCCTAGTGATGCCCACGTTCCATAACTGAATTAAAAAAAGAAATTAGCCGTGAGTAAACGCCTGGTAGGGGGGTGGTGGGGCGAATAAGGTTGGGTCTCGGTGGTGTGCTTCTCGGAGGGTCGGTGCAGACTCGACGGGCCGAGTGGCCTGCTTGTGCCCTGTAGGGATTCTTGCGGCTCTGTTTACGAGCTTTTGAAAAGGTTGCTTGTAAGTCAAGTGGCGTGATTTTGCGAACCCAAAGCATCAGAGGTGGTCGTTGTGTCTGAACTAACAAGCACGCGAAAACGGACTGAATAAATGAGTCTCAGGCACGT